TAAAATGAACCATTTTAAGGTAAAAAGAAACCAAAGGCTGCCCATCTATGAAGAGACCCCTCCTCAAGACCCTCCATCTTCAGTAAAGTTACAAAATTCACAAAGGCCCTGGTGCAAGTGGGTTTTTGTGAAGACCAGGGAAGAAACTTCGCTTTGCTCCTTGAATTGTTGTGGGGCAGAACCAGCCAGCACGCTCAGACAAGAGGAAGTGAAGGCTGAGTGAGGCATGCTGACATGCCCTACGGGCACTCATGAAAAGTGGGCTATGGATTCAAGGTTCTCACGAGGCTTGGCACTGGTGTTTGGGTCAAGTTTAACCAGATCTCCAAAGGCCTCAGCTGACACCTGGTTTGCACATAACTGGACATCTACCATGAGTGCTGTGCCCCTGGGCAGTGCCACTGATGAGGGTCAGTGTCCTCATAGTAAGAATACAGTGATTTTCATCCCTGCACCCTACGCACCCCTCACCTCTGCAGCCACAGTACAAGAGCTGGGGTCTCAACACTGGTTCACTTTTGCTCTGATCAATACTTGGTTCAGAGGCCCGTATATGGGAGCCACACATGACGTTTGCAAATAAGGCAGACCCCTAGAATGGCATCTGTGTATATTCTGTTGTCAAAAGTTGAGAACTTGTGCAGTAACAGGTCTCCCTCAAGGCCTAGGAAACCTCTGCTCTTCTGCTCAGTTGCCAGGTGACGTGCTATTTACCGACTTAGAACACCATGCCAGTAAGATCAATGTGAAGCTGAGAGCTCTGCCCGACACAGTTAACTTTGTACCAGAGGGACTGCTGATCCTCATAAGGAGGTTCATACCCTTTCGCTAAGTATTCTCCCCTCTTAAATTTGATCCTAAGGAAATTAACAAAAGCACAAAGCTAAATATTCTAAGATGTTCTTGATAAAATTATCCATAACACTAAGCAGCTGGAGACATAAAATTACAACAATAGGCTTGCAATTGTATTGTGAATCACCACAATGGCATTTCTGCAGCCATAAAATAAAGATTGGAGCAATATGGCAAGTGCTTATAATATAGGGTTGGTGGAAAAGTCATGATGCATTTTTGCAATGAAAAACATAGAAAAAATATGTCATGACTTTTCCGATACCCAATATTAAGCGAAAACACAGATTGTGAGTCGCATTTGTGACACGATTGCAGCTATGTAGAAATGTACATTGTATATGGACAAGAAGATTGAAGGGACCTTGGAAAATAAAAATTGTTACAAAACATAAAAGAACCACAGGTAACTTTTTCTTTAATATTATCTTTTGGATCATCTTCTTAGTATTTCAATAGGTTTAAACCTATATTTGTATCCAGCTGTTTATCTACATCTGTTTTCCCCACCCAGTTAGATTTCATGCATCTGTGTCTATCAAAATATTAATAGTTCTGTTTGTGCTGACTTGTTCCTGCCTCACTTACCATGTAGATCCTTCTGTTAGTAAAACCACACAATATTGGGCAAAAAGTAGCTAAACAGTAATGTTCCAGGCTGCTTTTGGTTTGGGAGATGTTTAACGACACTACACTGGTAGTATCATTGTGCTTGCAAATGGAGGATCTATTTTCAGTTTGGACTCTGATCAGGAAGAGACTCTGCCCACCAAAAAGTTTTAAAACCCTTCCCAGCAACCAGCATGCAGCGACCAGGGCTGCTAGGACAGATGAATCCTGATCCTCACTGAGAAAATGCAGCTGCAACACCATTGGGGAACAAGATAGTCCTCCCACGTGATCATGGGCAAGGCAGTGCTCCCGTGTGATCAGTGACTGAGGCAGTGCTCCTATGTGATCATGAGCAAGGCAGTGCTCTCATGTGATCAGTGAGTGAGGCAGTGCTCCCGTGTAATCAGTGAACCAGGTGGTGCTCCTGTGTGATCAGTGAGCAAGGCAGTGCTCTAACATGACTGGTGTGAGTAGGACAAGGCTCCAGCATGACCAGTGAGCAGCTGCAGCGTTAGTGGGGCTGCCAGTCCCAGGGTGAGCAAGCACAGACTAAGATTTCTCTGAGATCAGTAAGGGGAAGTCTACAACAAGTGATGGGTATTTCAGTCCAGATCAGGCCATGAGGAACCAGAGAAATATGGCCAAGAGGAGAGGATGCTAACCCCGCAGGGACTCTTCTGCTAGTCCTGGCCATCTGGATGCCAGATCCCCCCAGATCCTTCCTAATTTGGCACCCGAGCTCCCAGTGGCGCCTCTGGTTGATCCATTTTCTATAAGACCATGCGGAAGGTGGTAATTTACATCTCATTTTGGAGAGTGTACTCAGGCATCCTCAGAATGTCATCATAAAGTGTCAGGCTAAAGGACATCAGGGGTCACTCCATGGGCACCTGGATCAGTTGAGGGCTATCTGACATCTAGAATCGGGCCTCAGCATCATGATCTGGCAAACCTGGGAGAATCAGGCAACTGCTCCTGGAGAATTTTGTTTGAACAGGCGTGCATCTTTCTGAATAAGCTGTGTCTACTGGATGAGGAAATGCCTTGATTATTATTTCATGAAAACATCACAAAGAAGGATGCATAAGGGAAAGGTAACAGGCTGCTTTGGCGAAGGACGACAGGATAACTGGGCAAAGAGGGAAAGGAAAAGTTTTACTGCATTTCTTTTCTACTTTTCTATTTTTTTTAACTACTCATTACCAAACCAAATAAATGGGTGAATAATGAGTGAACAGTTATGCAAAATTAAATAAAATGAAAATCTACAGAGATTTTCTGATGACATTTGCCAAAATTGGAGACTGAGGCCAGCAGACAATTTAGGTAGTGGTAAAATTAAGGGGCAAAAAGAAGATCCCCAATTCACACAATAGGACCCCAGCCATCACCTGAGTTTGCTACTTGAAATTCGCTCTTTAGATTGAAGATAATATCGCGCCATAAAATGCTTACATATCTCCTTTAAAGAAAAGGAAGAAATTCATTTTTATCTAATATAAATCTAAAGTGAATCCTACCTAACTGATGAGGGAGTAGCCAGTTCCTCCATGACTGGGACTGTATCTCTGTGGCTGCAAGGGTCAGTGTCTGCATTGTAGAGAAAGGAAACATTGGTGGAAAGCAAGCTTTGCCACTGAGATTAACAGCACCAGGTCCTCAGGGTCAGTTCATGGCCATGAGGCAGGAGCCAGGTGTGAGGATCAGGCTCAAGTCCCTCAGGATTTGCTGCAGAGACAGCCATGCCGGGCAGTGGCCCAAGGTTAGCCTGACTGACCAGGAACGGCCAGAATACGGAGGGAGCTCATTGCTATGCCTGAGAGTGCGTTAGGTGTTGCCATGGACAAGGGGTGATTCATGCTGTCCTCCCAAGGCACTGTGCAAAGGCCCCATGGCCCTGGTGCGATGGGGACAGGCCTCAAAAAGAAAAGGAAGGAAGCAATAGAGGCAAAATCAGGGAGGAGGCCATGGCCTCTGTTATCAGCAGGGAGACAAGCGCAGGTGTGTGAACAGTGGATGTCCTAACAAAGGACAGGCTCCCCGAGATGAGATGGCATCATTGTGTCTTTGCCTTTCAACCCCAGGTGTTTTCGATAACCTCCTGCCAATAAGGACTGAATATTAAGTTTCTTAACCCCATCTGAACAGAATGAATTGTGTACAAAAAGCCTCGAGGTGAAAAGAGACATGAACCAAAACGGACAGTCCTTATCCTCTCCTGGGGGAAGAAAGGTTGCTGGTTGTTTAAAAAGCATCTGCAAACCCCAGTGGCACTTGAAATCCTGGACTCTAGGTGGCCATCTGGAGAGCTAGGCCTGTAGACCCTGGGAAGGGGACTAGGACCCACCAGAGCTGCTGGCGTAAGAGCACTTTCCTGATGCCACTGAAATGGGGAAAAGGGTTTCTCTCTCCAACTCTTCCTGCACCTGTGACCAGAACGCTCTGCTTGGATCACAACACTAGTCACCTCTCTTGGATACTCAGAGACTTATAGTGGCTCTGGCTGTCTTTTACTCGAATCTCATCTTCCTTCTGGCATTCAGGGCTTCCAAAATTTGGTGTTAGCCTTTTTCCAACGATAGCTCCCTCCCTCCCAGCCGTACACACCTCGCCATGCCCATCTCTCCACAGGGACTATGCTTTCCTGTCCCCGTGGGCTTCCTCATGCCAGCTCCTCCCGCCCAGAAACCATTTTCCCACTTTCCAAGCTCTCAAATTGTCACTTTTGAGCCCTTAGCTTTTCTTCACCCCAATGTCATCTCTTCAACAGCACCTTTACTTGTCCACTGCTCTGCACACTTAGTCAACAGACATTTCTCTCTCATCTTGCCTCTAAGAGCATTTCCTCTGTGTTTTACTTGGGGCTTATAACTTTTTCTTTAACATTTTGTTCATTGTGTGCTTCTCATAACTTTGCTCTAGATCAGCGGTTCTCAACCCTCCTAATGCCGTGACCCCTTAATGCAGTTCCTCATGTTGTGGTGACTCCCAAACATAAAATTATTTTCGTTGCTACTCTATAACTGTAATTTTGCTACTGTGATGAATCGTAACGTAAATATCTTTTTGTTTTCCGATGGTCTTAGGCGACCCTTGTGAAAGGGTCGTTCGACCCCCCAAAGGGGTCGCGCCCCACAGGTTGAGAACCACTGCTCTAGACGATACCCTCAGGGTAGTCCATACTGGCTGAAACGGAAGGGGTCACCAGTGGCTACTGAAGGGACTGACTTGAGGGATGGATTTCTTGGTCGCTGCGAGAGCACAGGCGAGCTGATGTCTGCCAAGTTTGCTTTACGTGGAGAGCTGGGCTGGCTGGCCTGTTTTCTTATAGCTCCAGGGTTTCACACGTCTATGAGTCTATGAATAGGCAAAGCAAAAGGCCACACTAAGCATCTTTTCTGCTCCTACCCCCAACCTCAGGTTCGAGGAGATCCCCTGGGGATCAGTGCTTTTAATCACCCCCATGGCATGCCGTGGAAAGGCGCTCTTTCCTGGAGCTGATTAATGCTGACCAGCCTTTCCCAAGGAGCTCTCTCGGTTGCTGGCTAAGGCGGCTGTGCTTTTCCTCTGCACCCTCCTGAATCTCTCAGTTCTCCCGGCCTGCCCGGCACAGGTAAGAAGTCTCAGAGTGCTGCCCTCCTCCTGGGAGTACTCTAGTGGCTCCTGCCGTCCCTGGGACATCAGCACCAGGCTCCCACCTTCTGACTCTGTCTCAGGTCCTGCCTGTCTGAACCAGACAGGGCCCAGGCTGAGAGCTCTGTGGTCACAAGGGGGAGATGGCAAGAGTGCAGGGTAGGGAAGGAGGGCAGAGAGCGATCCCTTGACTCGTGTATCCTTCAGGGAAAAGAGAGCAAATCGGACTTGAGCCTGTTTTCTGGGTAATTCGGCATCACAGAGCAATGAGGCCTGGGATCTTGCCAAATCTTTGTTTTGTTTTGTTTTTTTCCTCTCCTCCAATCAGCCCAGGCCATTGGGGAGTGGGAGGGCATGGAGGGGGTGGGGGCTGCACACACACTTGGGTTGAGAGAATGCTGAGCCTGCAGAAGTGGCCCATTGAGAGCTCCTGCTCACAGCCGAGGGGCGGGTGGCACCCCAGCCTACCACCACAAGGGAAGCTCTGTCCTGTGGGCACAGGGCTCCGTCCCAGCCCCACTGGCTGGGAGAGAACAACATTTCCTTATAAGGCCCCGACCGCCTTGCCAAGGCTGGACCCTCTGACAGACTGTAGCTTTCCATTCTCCTCTCCCGGCTCCAGTGCAGGCATTGAATGTAGCCCTTGTTGTCATGCCCCTCCTCTCCTCCTCGGCCCCCACCCCACCCACTTCCAATCCCCGCCAGAGCCAGCCCCACTGAGCAGGATAAACAGCCCAAAGGCGTCTCCCAGGCAGGGCCAGCCTAGGCTCAGGCCTGCTGGAGGCAGCACAGGGTAGCAGAAAGAACAACAGGACACAGGGCCCAGCGCCCTGCAGTTGCCTTACCTATGCCTGAGGCTTCAGCGAAGGACCTGACTTCTGTGAGCCTGTTTCCACATCTGGGAAACTGTGACCTAGTTGTCACGGGGCCTAAACTCTTTACGTTGCATTCAAAGCCCTTCCCAGTCAGGCTTTCTTCACAGCTTCACCTCTTTTAGCTACCCCATGGTGGGGTTCTCCAAGCCCTTCCCCTCACCCCTATGGGCACCATGCTTTCTCAGGCTGCCAGGGTTTTGTGCATATGGAATGACCCCGATTAAATGCCTGGGGTACTCAATCTGCAGGGCCCCACTCAGGAAAAATGCATCCCTTCTTTCTCTTCTCCCCTCAACATTTGCATGCCCCTCTTCGAGAGCCTTTCTATTTTGAAATTGCAATGATTTGTTTCCAGGCCTTTTCCTTTATCATACGATGAACGATCTATCTGCTTGTGACTCAAATGGTCTCTCTTCCTTTTTATATACAGAGCTCTACCACAGAACCAGACATGGAATCAGTACTTCATGAAAGATCATTGAGTAAATCCCTGAATGGACAAACTCAAAAGAGACAACTGATGTGCCAAAAGTTTGTAAACTATAAAATGCTGGTGCCTGTGAAAGGCAACAACCGCCTTTATCATGATGCCCTCCACCCCAAATTCTACTCTTTGTTGCGCCATCATAACCCTTTTTCCCGTCTGCTAAATTCAGTATCCTGGATTCTGGGCTCACTGCAAGCCCCTCTGGTGTGTCACATCTAATCACTAAGCTGTTACTGTTCCTTAGAATGCCAGTGGTGGTGGCTAACAGGGCCTGTGGAAATTATCCAGCCATTTCCACACTGACCTCTTCCATGTGCGTGTCACACAGCTACATGACTGAATTACATGAAGGGGTTCCAAATGCTTGGTCCACTTCTCTTACCCTGTACACCTTCTAGGTTCCCACAGCTTTCTCATAAAAAAGAATCTCGTGGCTTTAGAAGTTAGACGCACGCCAGTTAATCCAATCTCAACATTTGGTTGAAGAAACTGAGCTCCTTAAAAGAAAAGTGGTTTTCTTAACATCACATGAGTCATGCACAGAATCAGGCCAGTACCTGAGGCCCCTGACTCTAGCCCACTTAAGCCTCCTGCCCCTGCATAGTTGCCTGCTTAGGGCAGAGTGATGATGAATACAGCTACATCTTTTGCCAAGCTGAGTTCTTAAGGGCCTGGGATGTATCAAGTTCCAAATAAAGAATTTTAGTCTCCAGTAGAACAAATCTTTCTGAAATGGGGATTCTGCAAATTATCAGGTCAATGATTTGCAAGCACAGCACAGTTAAGTACTATAGTGAGACTCTATTCTTCATGACCCTAGCAATGATTTTAAAGAGAAAATTCTTATTCCAGGATGAAATACCCTATGCGCTATCCACCTACTCATTTTCTCAGAAATGATGTTTGTAGAACAAAGCCCATGGTTGATCATAAACCATGTTCTAACACTATTTGCCACAGAGCCAAATTCAGGATATAAGGTGGGCCTGCTTTGGGCGCCATCCAAGAGGATTTAGTTACTTAAATACCAAAAAGACCTTATTATAATGAGGTTTCTACTAGAAGATGCCTACGGGCAGACCCTTCAGCAACTGGGAGAAGTAGAAGAAATACTGGACCAGGGAACAGGAGGTCAAGCTTTGCTCTCAACTCTGATACTTACTGTGAAACCTAAAGCAAGTCAACTGTCTTTGTAGGTATTAGCTTTCTCAGCTACAGAATGGAAATAATGGTGCCTCCAAGACCATTTCCAAAGTCAGTATGAATTAGATCAATTGAAATTATGGATATGAAGTGATTTCTAGGCAATAAAAAAATATGTGCCTACATAAGGGCTAATTATTAATAGGAAGAGGTTCTCCCCTTGGTGTTGTTCTTCTAGGAACAGAAGAGAAAAAAAGTTTCATTTTCCAGGATCCTATAATGTTTGCCCCATCCCCCAGCTCCCTCACGGCCACTGGAAGCCTTACTATTGCTGATAACTTTCCAGGAAATCAAGAGAAGGGTGGAGCTGCTCCTGTTTAGGAGTTACTTTAAGAAGCTGGGCAGCAGACAAAGGGACCCATTCTCTAACCACATATTCCTCTGCCCTTTCTCCCCAGGTACAAAGAGAAGGTGTTTGCCAAGTCCAGGCTCAGGACAAACTCTAGGTGAATTTTGGAAGTCATTTCTCTTCTCTGAGCCTCCATTTCCCAATATATAAAATAAAGAGGTTGAAAAGAATGATATTTAAGTTTAGGGGTAACAATGTAACTTATTGCCAAAAAGAGATACTTTTGAAAGTAAAAAATAATGTATTATTAATA